ATTATTGTGATGTTTTTATCAGCTGTTTGGACTCTCATTCTGACGGCACCCATTCACTGCAGAGGACCCATTGGAGAGCAAATGATGGAATGCTACATGTCTCCAAATCTGATGAAGAATTAAACTTATCTACATCTTGGATGGCCTGAGGACATTTTCAGCAAATTTCCATTTTTGGGAGAACTGTTTCTTTAAGTCTATGTATGACTGAAGGCTGTAGCTGTGTTGCATTGCTGTCCTGCCATATTCCCGCCGGTGCTCTCCTCTCAGGTGAAGCCGTGGTGTCCGACAGCTCCATACTTACAGATGCAGATCCCATGAGAGGCGTCCAATAAGTAGCCCTCTTTGCAGACACAACTGTAGCTCCCTCGGGTGTTAACACAGTTCCCATTTTCACAGAAACCCGGTTGCAAACACTCGTTAATATCTACACCAGAGGAGGAAACATGACTGTCATAACCTGACGTGTTGGTGTGTGAAAACCCTTGTGAAAAAGAAGTGTGCTCGTAGTGTACTGCAAATCTTAAAAGTACATTTTAAAAAAGCTGTACTTGCAGATAATATAACATTAATGAAATAAAAGGCCACTCTAGTGGCTTAAAGAGAGACACTTTCATGACTTTGTTTCTTAACACACTTAAATACACTTTTAAAAAGTGCACATTGTAATAATGCCAAATGAAACATTTTAAGTAGATTTCAAATTATTTTAATAATCTTTTGTGGTACTTATTTTGATGTGTTGACTAACATACTAAAGCACATGTAAAGTACTTTATTATTATTTTAATTGTAGTGTGTTATTTGATATTACATGTAAATATATATTCAAATGTATTAAATTGCAAATGTGTAAATATAAATATATTTAAATACATGACATGTAAGTTTCAATAGAAATTACATTAATGTATATTTCAGTTTATCATAAATGCTTGTCAGCACATTTAGCAGTAACTTTAACCATATTTCAAAGACAATAGAAGTAATGATGACATTACATATAAAGATGTAAGATGTACTGTTAAGTCCTACTTAAGTGGGTCAAAAACACTCTTAAGTTCAATTAATCGCTTTTAATATAGATATAAACTACAATGCATCTTCATTTGATTGTAAATTACACAGAGTCCAAAAAACAATACATTCATTTTGCACTTAAGTAAATTCTATTAAAGCATATTATTTCCGTAATAAGTGCTCTTTATAAAAGTATGCTGAAGTGCACTTCTTTCTCACAAGGGTTTGTCTGTCAGTCCATGTTAACCATTGAACAGCTGCTCTTATTTGATCAGTATCTGGTTGATGCGGGGACAAGTGAGATGCATTTCGAGTAAAGAAGCACCAAACGTCCAGACAAACAGGCAGACCGGACAGGCCACGTATCGGTAGGTTGCTGACATGTAAAAGTGCATCTTAGTTTCATTAAAATGTCTTTCCTGAAAGTTACAGTATGTTTTTATAGTACAATGATGATCAAGAAAAATGTGATTCCTCATGATACACTCTTAAAAATAAAGCTTTCAAAAGGACCATAGAAGAACCATTTTTGGTTCCTCAATGAACATTTCAGTGATGAGTCCTTAAAAGAACTTAGTTTCATAGTGTGAAGAAGGTTTTAATGATCTAAATAACCTTTTTCCACTATAAAGACCCTTTTGTCCAATGGAAAGGTTGCATGGATGTTAAAGGTTCTCCGTCAATGAAAATAGAGGACTTTTATTTTGAAGAGTGTATATGCATGTTTACGGTGAAAAAAATACAAACTTTTCAGTACTTACATAAGGATACCTTGTACTGTAGTGTGCATTGTTATTACCTTAAATGTAGCAAATACAGGAACCATTAGTGTTACGTAATGAAACAATCAATATGTGGTTTGAAGAAGCAGGAGCGGAAATGTAGTGAAGCAGAACAGAGAGAGAGATATGTAACAGATGTGGAATTGTCATTATTTGACTCTGTGACCACCTCCAGCTCTGTCTTAATAAATTGATTTTACAATGTGTTTATCAAAGCATCTGGTCTGCCGTTACGGTCAGAATGAAGATTAGAAAACAAAGCCGTAGATTCTCCTCCGGGGAAGGTGGTCTCTGGATTTCACACATATTGACAAATCGAGAAAGATTCATTCCGTCATAATTGCTACCATGTGAAAAAATTGGGAGTTAACAGCTATGCAAGACATTTGTTTTTTTTTTCTCTCTCTCTCTTTAAATTAAGCTGGACATGATTCTCGGTATGCATTTCAAAAGCAAATCCGAAGCATACCTGATATACATGAAGTGATTTAAATAACTCCTTTTTAGTTAAAAATCATAAAAAATAAATAAACATATCATAAATATATTTATACATTTTTAAATATAATTTTTTATTATAATAGAGTTATAAATTTAAATTATGCTTTTTAACATTTATATTATAATTTCTTATATACATAATTTTCTATAGATTATAATTTTTTGGACCACCAAAAAAATAGTCCAAAATATATAATACATGCATTATGAAAGTCAATATTGTCAACTTCTATTTACATTTTGGGATTTGGATCTGCAATGGATAAAATAGTCTTGTCTCACTTTTTTTTTCTCTAGACAGAAATATGGCACATTATGGAAATAAAATGGGTTGTAAATGCAGACTTCAACCCTTTTCTCAATGAGGATTGTGCTTTGTTAGTCACTTTGAGTAAAACGATCAATTAAATGTCTATTTATCACATCAGGTCCGCAGCAATACAGCAGCATGAACTACACAGTGAGTGAGACTGAGAAGAGCATCTGCTTCAGTTCCAGTGTTTTAAACAAAACTAGACAAACCGTCTTAAGTGACGAATGTATTTGGTCGACCCCTGGATGAAGGAAGGAAGAATGAAGTGTTTGTTTGCATGTTCCTAAAATGTGTTTTGGCCCGCGAGAGATCACTGTGAACGCTAGGATCAATTTAGCACAGGAGGACAGGGGCGAGGACTCTTACCCACACACTGCGTCCCGTTGACCCTCTCAAAGCCTTTCGGGCAGCTTCCCTGTCCATTAACAGTGTTTCCTGTTGAGATAAGAGCACACCGATCTCCAGCAGGATGTACGAACACATCTGTCAAACTGCAGCTATAGTTTAATAATGTGTGCAAAAGGAAAATCATACTGAGACAGAGCAAGACTGGAGGCTGAGATAAATACAATAATACAAAACATCCTGAAACACTATTTCATTATGCCACATTCTGGCTTTGTTCTTTCATGTGAGAGTATGTAGCCTATGCATGCATATACAGATAGATATAACTTAATGTACATCGCTTTACGGTCCACCATTAAATATAGAGTGATTTGATTATTTGTAAGGCAAAAAAAAAAAAAAAGATGATTAAAATAATGATTTAAAATGTGCTTTAAAGGAACACTCCACTATTTTTGAAAATAGGCTAATTTTCCAACTCCCCTAGAGTTAAACAGTTGAGTTTTACCGTTTTCGAATCCATTCAGTCGATCTCTGGGTCTGGCGGTAGCTGCGTAATATCATTGCGCCTGCTGCACCCATGGTACGGCAGCAAAGTTCCTTGATTATTACGCCGGAATGAGAGTATGGTTCCTAGCCATATCGGCTTAGAAAATCACAACTTTTCATTTTCCGTCGGTCTTAGTACACGATGTAACGACAGAAGAGTTAAGTTTTAAATAGGAAAAATATAGAAGCTCTTTGGTCATTTTTGAGCGAGATGCTAACGGTCTAATCAGATTCAATGATCTATGCTAAGCTACAGCTAAAAGTGCTACCGCCAGACCCCGAGATCGGCTGAATGGATTCGAAAACAGTAAAACTCAACTGTTTAACTCTAGGGGAGTTGGAAAAAATACTATTTTCAAAAATAGTGGAGCGTTCCTTTAAAGCAAAAATTAATTTGACATTATTACAAAGTGTACTTTTTAAAAGTCTATTTAAGTGTCAAGAAAGAGTCATGAAAGTGTCTCTTTAAATCACTTAAGTGGCCTTTTTTAAATTCATATTATTATCTGCAAGTACAGTTTTTAAAATATACTTTTAAGATTTCAAGTCTCGGTAATTGCTCTGCCGCAGCAGTAGCAGCGTAGCAGATCTATTCTGCCAAGACCGAATACATTAACATTGTCATGTACATTACCATGCCAATCCCTCCGAGAGTTGTCATGACAGAAACACAATTAAGCACACTTCTTTTTCACAAGGGAAGGCATGTTCCTTTTTTTTTTCGTTCACAACAAAGTCTTCCAGCAGCTCAGGCATACTTTCCAGAATGCTTCACAGAAAGGAAAAATAACTATTTGTCCCTGTGAGGTTAAATATTTGTGGCTCTGGGAGAGCCAGAGATCCCGAAGCGTGTAACAGACGGCTCTATTGTTCCAGTTATTTTTCAGCATTGGGTAAAATGATTATATAACCATGTGCTTAACATTATCAACCACTCAGGGTCGACAAAGAAGTTATGGAAATATATCCTGAGCAAATGTCCTCTGCACTAAGACCAAAAGCAAAAAAGTTAATAAGAAACATTGTAGCGGTTATGAGGTTTTAGCTACAACTGAAACCATAAAAAACATTTTCTTTACTTGAAATACATCCGGTAACACTTTTGTATTATAATAAACATACCGCTTATTAATATTAGTATGCACATCACTAACATATTGGCTGTTTATTATTATTATTGATTTTTTTTTTATTTAACATGGACATCACAGTTACATTGGACAAACCATATACACTTGCACTTGTATGCATAAAGCACATATTGATGCTTTATTCTGCATGACCATATTTTAGATCCCTTAATCTGAACCCATACTTAACAACTACCTTAATAATTATTCATAAGGAGCAAATTAGCAGTTTATTGAGGCAAAAGTCATAGTTAATAGTGAGAATTGGTCCCCAAACTAAAGTGTGACCCATAAAGGTTGACCAAAATAAAACATAAAAAACTTAAATGTATTTTATTTCAGCTATTTGCCTAGGCAACATTTCTATTTTTCATTTTGTTTCATTTAACTTTAAGTACTAAAATAACTACAACTAAATCAACTAAAACTGATAAATATAAACCAATAAAAACCATATAGACATATTAAAAAAATGACAAAAACAGAAAATTACTAAAACTTTAACTAAAGTGTAAAAACATAAAAATACTATCTAGGTACATATATATATATATATATATATATATATAATAGTATATCAATGATACTAAAATGACACTAAAAAAACACTGATCAATAGTACAGTTGCATAAATGCTTGTTCTCTCTCCAAAACTCTCTTAAATGTGAATAATTTTTTCTAAAGCTACAATATCATCATATTTATTGTGTTTACTTAATTACCCAACAGCTATTAGAAAAATATGTCAGGTCTGCGAAAGACGTCACATTGTTATCAGGGCAAGTTGGTGTAATTATATAATAATAATAATAATAATAATAATAATAATAATAATTATTATTATGATTCTTATTCTTATTAATATTATTATTATGTAATTTCTGTTCCATTAATTGTTATGTGTTTCACAATTATATGAATGTATATGTTAAATTTTTGTTATATATGCTCATTTGGCATACTATAGGCTCCCGTTGTGACAACTTACCCCAACTGCATGTTTTGATCTGTATTAATATCTCAAAAATAATCATGGATTATGTCATTCTATGTCACTATATTTAATAAATGACAGTGGTGCTGAAGTCAGTTTCTATTAAAGCCATGAAAGCAAAGGTTGCAGCATTCATAATGTGGATGAGGAATGTAAATACGCTGTAATGTTTCGCCAGACGGCTGATGGCGACACCTTGACTGATGCAATAATAAGATAGTAGCAGGACTTAAATATGCCGTCTGCCAAAGAACTCGCAAAAGCTATATTTATCTCCTGAAGTCATGCAGCGACGCTGTATTTTCTGTTTTACAAGACAGACGTGTTTTTCCAGCCAGCTGAACTGATATCAGTGAGTTTATGAGTTAAGAAGGAACAAACCGGTGTTTTGTTGCCTCTTCGTGCTCTAAGTACAAACTGTGCTGCTATAATCGCTCAGATGATTTATAGGCATGGACTTTCAGACTCTCACCTAAGATGGCGGGACAGAGCGTGCATTCGTTGATGCCCCAGGCCTTCCCAACACCCCTGCAGCACATCTCCTGACTCCTCAGACCAGGTAACGGAGAACTGCACTGCAGGACAGAGCAGAAAACACACAATCCTTCACTTATTCATTCACTCAAAAGACTGAGTTGGGCATGGAGTGATGTGTTAAACAGACAGTCACTAATACTCCAATGACTGCTAGATGACATGTAGTTGCAAACAGTGTTGGGGGTAACACATTACAAGTAATCAGATTACTTTTTTCCAAGCAATTAGTAAAGTAATGCATTACTTTTAAAGGGGTTATATGATGCGATTTCAAGTTTTCCTTTCTTTTTGGAATGTTACAAGCTGTTCATGAATAGATAAGATCCCTAAAGTTGCATAGACTAAAGTCTCAAACCCAAAGAGATATTCTATTTAAAAGTTAAGACTTGTCCTCCTAAAACGCCTAGTTGAAACACGCCCCCACATGTCTATGTCACTGTGTGGGAAGATTTGCATAACACCGCCCAAATGTTCACGCAAAGAAAGAAGGCGTAAGAAGGTTTTATTGTTTTTTGTCTCGTTCATTACACCAAATACACAAAATAATGTTATTTTTCAGCAACATCATATGACCCCTTTACATTTACAGTACAAGAAAATATCTGAGTAACGGCAGTTACTTTATTTCCCATGTATTGGCTGACAGAGTTGCTCTCCTGCTCTCAAGTTGCTCTCCTGTCCTCATGTTGAGAGGAATCAGGAGTGAGTGCAGAGGCGTTGTGTGCGCTGCTGTGTGAACATGATGATACTGTTATGTAGATCTAGACTAAATGTCAGCATGCATTTACTCATCTGACGTGCACAAAAACAGATTCAGTAGTCCTCAAAATGAACAGTGAAATGCAATCTCAGAATATGACTCAAACCTGCAGTAATTAAATATGTTAACAAATATCCGTTATGTATTTAATCCTATTTTATTAACCAGTATCTTTGCTGCTGACCTTCAATGATCCAGTACGACAATATTAATAAGAAAAAATTACTTTAGATAAACATGACATTTGTGTTTCTTCTTTTTTAATTGCTGAAGAGTGTTGAACTTTCTTCTCATGCGTCTTATTCTTCATGCAGTCTAAAATGGCAGTAAAGCTGAAAGGATTGCTTGAGCTGCGCTCTCTACTGGACAGAAGTGAATTTACATTTCCTTCAGCCTGAGCCATTCATTTCACTTTTGGTGTGAAAGGGCTTTTAGTTTTGCCAAAAATAAAACTTTTTCATATTTAAAACAAACAAGCAAGCACAGCCCACAGCTGACAGTAAATACATTTAAACTATAATACATTTTCATTTAATTGTAAATAGCATGCAATTAAGTGTTGGAAAACATTGCATGCAGTTCATAATTATGGAAATTATATTTTAAAAAATATACTTAAGTACTCTTTTTAAAAGTATGCTAAAGTGTACTTCTTTTTCACAAGGGATGTATTACTTTTATATTAGGTTTTTTTTTTTTTTTTCGTTTTTGGAGCTTGACAGCTTCTGGTCTCCATCCCCTTTTGTTGTTTTGGAAAAGAAAAGCCTTGTCATTATGCTGAATTACTGCTTTTGTGTTCCATATAAAAAAAAGTAATGCATGTTTCCGGCAACATACAGCTGAACAAATTATGAATTTTAATTAGTGTAAGACAAATCTCTATCACCCCAAGTTGCTCCAGGGCAACTGTCCTGTAATAAGCGTACTTTGGATAAACAATCAGCTAAACAATCTTGAATAAACACAGTATTGGTGATGGAAGTGGTTTTCACAACACTGTCTAACCTACATTTGAAGTTCAGCATGCTCACATGACAGAGCCACAATAAACAAGTCATACTCAATTTATCCAGCATAGACCAGACTAGCTTGGGTCCTGTTCCTACTAGAACCAAACCAGATGCTCTGCTGCTAAAGCGAATGAGGAATGAAAACAGAAGAGCTTTAATCTAACCTGTCCATTGCGCACGTCTCTGAAGCAGTATTTGAAGCCGGACGTCTCGGTGTAGACTGAATCACCACGTATGGTCTGGGCTTGAACCCTCGGCGGTGGCGCCTCGGCTCTCTCTCCCGGCAGCTGGTGAGGACGGGCCCCCGAGAGCCCCGCGGACCAGGTCACGGTTTCCGAGTGCTCGTGGATGGTGGAGCCGTAACCCACCTTCAGCACCTCGTGGATCTTCACACTGGCCTCTGGAGGGTGCTGGACTCGTACCTTCACCATGGGGGACGCTGACGGACAGAGAGACCGGATCAGACACAGAAACACACTGAAATCAGGATGGCTTCTTTAACTATCGAAGTCTTTGATCCTGTTGAATTCAGAACATAAACTCTCTAACTAGTTTAATTTATGCACTAACAATTTATAGACATACATAGTTCTGTCATGACAACTCTCGGAGGGATTGGCATGGTAATGTACATGACAATGTTAATGTATTTGGTCTTGGCGGAATAGATCTGCTACGCTGCTGCTGCGGCAGAGAAAGTACCGAGACATGCTGCCAATACATCCACCACATGCTGCTGTGAGCATGTAAGAAATATTGCTGCTGCAAATATAACATACATGAAATAACCCCCATATAGCATACCTATCGGACTGCGCCATCTAGAGTTTCATGCCAGAACTCTGTATTTAGTTTTAGCATTTTTTCCCTGAAAATAATGAAAAGTCCCACCACAGTGTCATTTCCACCGTGTCAAATGTAATTTGATGTTAAATTATTTAAATTACGTATTGTGTTCATTAGCGAAATGACAATTCAAGGACAATTTAGGACATTTTATAGAGATGGAAATGACCGATTTTGGAATAAAATTGCAGACTTTGCAAAAAAAATAAATAAATACATGATTCAACAGATTATTTATTTGTTTATTATAAATTGTATTTGTTTATTTTTATTATACTTTTTTATTTTATAAATTATAGTTCATTGATTCATTCATTGATTCATATATTTTATTTTATGCTATTTTATTTTATTTGATTTAAAGCCTGTTCAGCAGCGGGTGTAGATCCACACATGCAAGGCATTTGAAAAGCACATATAAATGAATAATAATGAAGGCATAATAAAAATATGGCTGCCCACTGCTCCGGGTGTGTGTGTGTGTTCACTACTGACTGAGGTGCCCTTGAGCAAGGCACTGAACCCCTAACTGCTCCCCGGGTGCTGCAGCAATATGGCTGCCCACTGCTCCAGGTGTGTGTTCATGGGTTGTGAGTTCATTACTGTGTGTGTGCACTTGGATGTGTTAAATGCAGAGCACAAATTCTGAGTATGGGTCACCACATGTCACGTCACTTTCACTTTTAACTTTTCTATATCCGGCCTCTCCGGCATCACAGGTCATGTACTGAACCCTAGTCCTGGAAATTACTCTAAATCACACTCAAATACTCAGGACAGAGCAAAAGAAGTTTACTGTTTCTCAAATAAACAGACTGATGCTCCAGAAATAACAGAGAGAGAAAGAGAAAGGTGTAGAGAGCATCCAAGTTAGGATCTGTGCAAACTGAAGACTCATTCTCCTGAATCGTGTTCGAGCTTTGAGTCACCATCACCTCTTGCCTCTTACAGATTAAACTTGGCAAAACGCTTGCCCAATTTTCCTCAGAGAGAAACCCCTCCTCACCAAACAGGCGCTAAATACAATGCCGATGCTTTCCAGTCTTCTGTGTTTTATAAAAGATGATTTGAAGTCTAAAGACGATATGGAAACGGCTCTGTGATAATAAAGGCCTAGAAAAGACAGGCACAACATGGGCCTTATTTGTTTGGATGAACATCCCTGCAACCCCATCTGGGAACATCAGGCTCAGTTTGGGATTCAGATTGTTACACAACAATGCAGACCAGTGTTTAGTGCTCGTAAACCCAATTCAAGTCACCGCTTGCACAATAAGAGTGTTTTTAGTTTAAAAGCTGTAGGTTTTACTGGCACCTTGCACCAAAAATCAGACACAAAGTACAGCGTCAAAATAGCATAGTATAGTATTTTAAACTACCTTTACTTCTTATGATGCCCATTATGATTTGGTTGTAAGTTTGCAACGCTGTTTGCGAATGTTCACCAATTAATGCTTTCACCAAATAAGGACTAAAAAGGTCTTAAATCCGAGCATATAAAGTCTTAAATTAACAAAAGACATGGGATTAAATGTAGCATGCATTGGAAAAAAAACGAATATCTCCCTCAGTATTTTTGTTTTCCAATACAAATATCTAAATATCCGTAAATTGAGATACATTTACTTGAGATGGAAATTAAACATTTGAAGTAAAAATGAAGTTTTATTTTTAGCTTATGCTTAAAACAAGAACAAGTATGGGGAATGAAAATGTGTTTTCCTTTGAATGGTTTATTTTTCTGAGCTCATTGGCAGATATTTGCTCTTGTTTTAACTGTAATCTCATTTTAATTTTGATCAGTTTCTCATAAAAACAAAAATTCTCATGTTATGTCATTTTGCTTCTGAATGTATCCTGGTTTAAGCATCTTTAGACATTTGCCCTGGAAAACAAGACAAAATTATTGAGGAATAACTTCTTTTTTTTTGCAGTGTGTTCAGAAGGTAGAGTAAAGGTACAGTTTTTTTTAATATTTTTTTTATAAAGTTGGAAGATGTATTTTCAAACTTTACATTTAGAGGTTTAGAAACCATATTGACACATTGTGTTCCATTATATTTATTTCTTAAATTGTCTTTAATTGGTTTTAAAAAGTAATTTACCTTCATAAAACTGCAGAAACCCTGATTAATTTCAGAATTAACGCACATTATTTTATTATCAGTGTCAGTAGTTTACAGCAGTTTTACCGCAATACTTAAAAAATTAATAAATAAAAACAAAATAATTTAGTTTGCCACAGTTTGCATAAACAAACAAAAATGATGTTTGCTGTACAGTGAAAGTCAATGGGGCAAGACATTATTGTACTGGAATAAACCTTAAAATCAAGAGTATATTGTATCTAACATGAATTTAGTGTGATATAATCACTTTCTAACCTCACCTGTGCAAAATTAGATTGTCTATGGTAACTGACAACATGCCAGAGATGCTATTGATAAATCTTAACTTGCTGAAACTGTCACCTGTTAGATCAACACATGAGGTCTCTCTCTAGCCAGCAAGAATTTAAATTCAATTCGCATTGTCTTTCCTGATCACGCCTGAAGTGTTGGTGAGGTTTTAGTGTTGTCGTGTTTTATCAGCTCTGCGTGCCTGTGGTTCTGGAGCGATACAGCAGTGACCTTCGTCTGCTTGTTCATGTGTCTCCCTGCCAAAAATATGAGCTCACCTGACACTCCACCATGAAATGACAAATGGAAACAGATTTATCATGACTGCCTGATTAAATAAACCCAACTTAAAAAATAAACACGCGGCATTCCATCAGCAGAGTCTGTGGCATGTCACTTTATAGGTTTAAATGCCAGAGGTCAAAGGTCTACATACTTAAACTTAGAATTTCTTAACTCAAACTTTTTGATGTAACTGATTACCTCAATTTATTTATTTGCCAGTTTATTCGGGTTTACAGTGTAACAGCTGCAATTTAGTCTGGATTAATAATCTAATGATAGTTACTAGGAGCGTTTAGTCATACATTCTTTGTGAAAAAGAAGTGGCATACTTCTAAAAAGCGTAAGGAAATAATACACTTTAAAAGAATACTTAAGTGTGAACTGCGTGTAATGTTTTTGGATGCTTAATTGCATGCTAATTAAATTAAAATGTATTCTAGTTGGAGTGAGGAGTGTTTTTTTTACCCAATTAAGTAGGACTTCAGTACACATTTATACGTAATTTCATAATTACTTCTATTGTATTTGAAATATGGTTCATGGCTACATGGCTGAATGTACTGAGAAGCATTTATGATAGACTAAAATATACTTGAATGTCATTTCTATTGAAACTTGTATGTCATGTATTTTAATATATTTCTAATTACACATTTGTAATAATGATGTTTCAATTTAGTACATTTAAAATATATCAAGTAATATCAAATAACACACTACAGTTAAAATTATAATCAAGTACTTTACATGTGCTTTAGGATGTTAGTCAACACATCAAAATAAGTCTACTTTAAAGCATGACAAAATATTTCAGTGAACAGTGATTTAGGCCTGGTTTCGCAGACAGGGTTTAGGTTAAGCCAGGATTAGGCCTTAGTTCAATTAGGACATTTAAGTATATTTTATAAACGTGCCTTAGAAAATAACCTTACTCATGTGCATCTTAAGACAAAACAATGGCACTGACATATTTTAAGATCAGTCAGTGCACGTTTTTTCAGGTAAAACAGCCCAGACATGCATTTTAGTCTGGGACTAGGCTTAAGCCTTGTCTGTGAAACCGGGGGTAAATTTGACATTTTTACAAGTGCGCTTTTTAAAAGTCTACTTAAGTGTGTTAAGAAACAGTCATGCATTTGTCTCTAAGTCACTGCAGTGGCCTTTTATTTCATTTATACTATATTATTTGCAAGAGCAGTTTTTAAAAAATACTTTTAAGATTTGAAGTACACTACAAGTGCACATTCAATACAATTAAGCACACTACCTTTTCAAAAGGGTTGTGGGTCAAATGCGGCTTGTCAGTTATTTTTATGCCGATTTCCAGCTGACTTGAATGAATTGAATAAAATCGCCGCTCTTCCTGAATCACAACACTCTCAAGATGAACAGAATGAACACACATTATTATGGGTATTACGTTTTGTGGTGTTGCTTATTGCAGAATGAAACGGCAAAGAGCTACAGGAATGAGTTTCGTTTAGATGATCTACCTGAAAGGAAGTAGATGAAGAACTACTGAAGACCTGTTGTGCTCATGAGTGATGCAGGTTCATTTCTGGCATTGACGTGTCCTCACGTGTCACTCTCCATTACCTCTGTCCAACAAAGAGGCCAAACGCCAACAGATATATATTAAAATGCCATCAGGTCTTAGTAAAGCCCAGAGCACCTTTCAGAGTAAAAACTGTGGACATGGTGGTTTCCCTGATGTCATTCTGCCTCAACAACCCCACACACGACACACATGATCTATTCAAGCACCACACGCTCACATATTCCAGGTGTAACTGACATCTGCATGATGCATCAGGCACATTTCTGCCTTAATTCCTCACAGGACTCTGAAAAAAGAAAAGGCTGATGCTGCCATTTATGGATCGCATCCAAACTGAGAGCTGCTGCCAAATGAAAACAGAAAATGAATGTCGCCAGTCTGTGACACAGTCATTTTTTACCATCACAACAGTCTGGATCCGTATGTGTCCATGAGTTACGCAACATATTACAGTGCCAAAACACATATTACTGTAAAAGTTTTGATGAAACATGGTGTGCTTGTTAAAATAGGGTCCATTCTTCTAATTTTGCATAAATTGTTAACATATGCTGTACCCTTGTGAAAAAAAAGCACACTTTTAAAAACCGTGCTATTACGGAAATAATATACTTTAAACATATATACTTCGATACAGTTCAAGGGCAAACTGAATGTAATGTTTTTGGACATTTAATTGCATGTTAATTGCAATAAAATAAACTCTAGTTTAATTTTATACATTTATAAATTAGTTGAAATTAAGACTAAGTTTTTGACCCACTTAAGTAGTATTTAAGTGTATTTTATATGTACTTTATTGCATTCTATCGTCTAATGTAAGTGTATGTCGCGTATTTTACATTTAAATATATTAAATAATATATTACTTAAATCTAATATTGAAACACACACTACAGTTAAAATGTTAATGAAGTGCTTTACATGTGCTTTAGTATGTAAGTCAACAAATCAAAATAAGTGTACTTCTTTAAAACGTGACAAAAGATTAAAACAATGATCTAAAATGTACTTCAAAGTAAAACTTTTAATTTGACATTACTACAAAGTGCACTTTTTAAAAGCATGTTAAAAAGCAGTCGTGAAAGTACACTTAGAACATGCTCTCTCTTTAAGTACACTTAAGTGGCATTTTATGTAATTAATATTATATTGTCTGCAAGTACTGTTTTAATATACTTATGAGATTTGAAGTACACTATAAGTGCATTACAATTGTCTTTTTACTTCAGGTAGAACTTAAAAATTGTAATTCAAACAGTATTGAAAAAAAAAATATTTCTCTCAAACTGACATGACTGAACATCAGGTCTCCATTGTGTGACAACATGCCCCTTCATAAATCAACGTGTGTTAAATTAACTGTGCTTTTTGTGAAAGAACCGTGAGAAACATTTACTGAAAAACACAGATCCTCTCACCATTGGTGTTGATCTGCTCAGGCGTCTGCAGAGGCAGTATGTACTCAGATGTCATCGGCTGATTGGATGAATCGGCAGCACTCGTCGCCGGTCTCTCGATGTGATTGGTGGAGACGGGGATGTGGCAGAACTTCCCAGTGAAGTTGGGCGGGCAGAGACATTGATCCTTCTGTACGCACACTCCTCCGTTCTTACACAACATCGGACACACGACTGACGGGAGAAAGAACAGAGAAAGTGAGTAAAAAGCACAAAGAATCAGAGCAAATCCATGATGAATGACTTCATCCATCACTCATCAACTTTATGCAATTATGCAATTATTGCTCTAAAAACCACAACAGCTCAACAAGTTTCTGATGAAAGACAGAACACAGTCATCACTGCATTTGAATGGATGCTGTTAACAACCTAGTAATGCGTCTTGGTTTAGTGCCTCGCAAAATGGAACGTTTCTATAAAAAGCAACTCTTTTTGTTGTATTTCTTTTATTTCGTTGGTGGCCTCGGCATGCCTTCTATATCACATGTCTGTGATGTATTAATACATTTGGAAAGCTTGGACAGGGCCCATGCCTAAAAAGAGCGCGCGAGAGAGAGAGACAGAGAGAGAAAGAGAGAGAGAGAGAGAGGGTCTCTCCATGGTTGTTTTTTCAGTATTCATCTGCAATCACTCTTGCATGATCTCTAGATCCAAACACATCTGTCAAACAAACCCCATGCAGAAGGAGCTCCTTAATCCTTCGAGAAAGACACAATCAGACAGAACAAGGCTAAATCTAATCTTCAACATGAAATCAAATCACAATCGTTTTCTTTCATAACGATTCATCAAAACTTTCCAGCTGGTGTCACCAGTAACCTATTAATTTTCAATTCCTCCAATCCAAAAACTAACAAGTTTTCAGTGGTGTCCTATGACCACATTGTTAATTCAAGGTTCAACATCTAATTTAATCCTGGAAATTAAGGTTTCAGGAATTTGCTAAAAAATGTTAAACAAATTATATAAAATTAATTTACACTAATCAAATTTGACACTGACCATGTTAACTCTTTTTTTGAGAAGTTCAATTGTTTTTGCTTTCTCAAATCATGCTGGCTAATACTAAGAAATTCAAAATCACACACACACACACACACACACACACACACACCTCTATTAGCCAGGGTTTAGCGGAAGCTGAACAGCATCCAAAGTCCACAGGTGTCCACCATCTTTAAGGCAGGGTTCAGTACCGGGTCAGCATTGGTTCTCTGCTGTATCCATGCACATTGTTTTAAAAAATGTTTGTGGTAGTATTTTATAATTCCTAGAAAACACATAAACATCAAAATAGAGTCTAAAGTTTGCGAACAAACTTTGATGTTGGCTTGAGAAAGCCTGAATGGACAGCCTGAGTCAAAAGAGCCAAATCACATATCAGTTCGGAGTTCTGGAGCTGAAATATGGTTTATTCATGGTGCCATGTGGTTGCTAGGGTACCCTATATGGTTGCTAGGGCGTGGCTAAACAATTTCCAGGGTGATACCTGAAGCCTGCTAAAAGTCTGAGCCAAAAGGGCCCATTCCCATGCCTCTATGTTGTTCTAATGGAGAAATAAAGCTTGTTCATTTTACTGTATGGTTGTTAGGGTCCTCTAAATGGTTGCTAGGGTGTGGCTATGGTGATATCTAAAGCCTGTTAACAGCCCGAGTCAAAAGAGCCCACCCCCATGTCTCCATGTTGTTTAAATGTAGCGATATATCTTGTTCATTTTACTATATGGTTCCTAGGGTCCTCTAAATGGTTGCTAGAGTGTGGCTAGACAGTTATTTAACAGTCTGAGTCAAAAAAACTCAACCCAATGTCTCTAACCAGGTAACAAGTAATGTTTTTTAGAAGTTATATAAATGTTAGTAGAACGTTGCAAGAAATGTTTTATTGTAACCTTCAAATAGCGTTCTATTTAAGAACACTTGACACTTTAACATTCTTATAATATTACAAATAAATGTCAGAACGGTGTAAGAAACATTCTTTTAACCTTTAATTAACATTATAATCACAACAAGAAAACTGGACATTTTGACATTTTAGACACATTTCAAAACAATGTTCCAACGAGAATTATATAACCTATTTTTTCCCCTGGGTATGATGTTCTAATGCGGAAATACTGTATAGTTTGTTCATTTTACTATATGTTTGCTAGGTTGCGTTAAATGGTTGTTAGCGTCTCTATGAGATATGTGTGCACAAATCATTTCACAAATGCAACTCTAATACATCAGAAAGAGATGTGTTTAATGATGTTTCTTGTCAATGAACCAGTGAATTATTTAGACATTTTCTTTCAATAGGATTTCTTAGTTTCCACCTCTGAATCCGATTAAATCCATTTATGTGTCTACTTTTCTTTAGTCTTAGTGACTTTCATGCTGGTTTTATCATCCCTACAGTGGTTAAGCTGTACAGCCTACAACAGCTACCAGTAACAAACTATCTAACACCAGTTAAAACCATCTTAGTTTATGTCTTATGCACAGACATACAAGTATAAACCCAAGATTTCCCTCATTTTATCAAGATAATTATTTATATGATCTCATGAGCTGTATATTAACCATTACATTGTATTTTATACATACTAGACTGTATTCTATGGATGTGAAAGAGAGGGAGAGGGAGGCTGGCGTTGTTTAGAGAAGATGTGGCAGAGGTTTGTACGTCTGGAGATGAATGAACCGTGGTGGTTTTTGAACCAGGATGAGAGCTTGTTCTTCAGCTCATCGGTGTAAACACAAACAGCTGGTAACACCCTCACACTTCATAAAACTAAAGCTGGAAATCTCCAGTACCTTTTCATTTTCTAGCTTTCCAACTTCATTTCTGGACCACAGATATTCTGTTGTTTTGAAACCATTGAGGGTTCGAATAAATATTGGCTCCATCCAGATAACAGGAAGCCAAATCTACACTTTCAGCGAGGGGGGAAATATGTAAATAAAATACTTTTGAATATTATGAAATACTGAATCAACTAAATTATAAAACTCTTGACAGGACACAAATGGAAGAAAAATCCATTTTCATTGGAGAAGATCCAGGGAGGTCTCATTTGCACTTCAAAGATTCATTCAGAGAAAAGCGCTGTCATATGCGTATCTCCCATCTTTCAGCTTAAATGAAGAAAAGAGGTCCTGCCAGACACGACTGGACCTGTTCAAGAGTTGAGTTTAAAACTGAAGTCTCAAATTAGACGCTTTGTCTAATTTGATATAATTTGATATGAACGCTTTTATACAAAAACAAGTTTGGAAGAAGGTTTGTATCAACACATTTTGGGCACATGTCAACTTTTTTATTTACATTGTATAAAGATAAAGGCAAATTATCACAACATATTGCATTTTCAACATTATCTTAAACATATTTACTTTCAGCTGCTGCTGTTGTCGTTGTAATTTGTACTATTTAAAAAATGTTTAACACAATATACTTCCTCTACAGTCAAAAATCTGGGTGTTATATTATGGAGTTTTGGTTCCTTGCCGCTGTCGCCTCTGGCTTGCTTAGTTGGGGACACTTCATTTCCAGCGATACCGTTGACTTGATTGCAAAGATACTATTTAAACTGAGCTGGATGTTGACATCACTGAATTCAATGATGAACTGTCTTTAACTGAAAAATTAGTGTTTACTATTGTCATTTTGCATTATTGACACACTATTTTCCTAATTAATGCTGTTCAGTTGCTTTGACAATCTGAAGAAAAATATATAAATAAAGGTGACTTGACTTGACTTGACAATAATTTTACCATATTTACTTAAAAAAAGGTGTACTGGAAAGCCACTACATTGTAAAAAAAATTATCTGAATAAAGTTAAGAACATAAGAACACAATTTCAGTCTTCTATTTTAAAATGTAAAGTTTAATTGAATGTGTTATTTGTCATTTTGTAATTATTTGTGAAATTTCCTAGAATTTTTGAGTGAAAATTGTTTGAAAGTAAATCCCATACCATTCCCCCCCACCCCCAGTGTATTTATTGTCAAACGTTTTATATAAATAAATGTGAATTACTAAATGTGATTTTGATATATATACTAAATGATATTTTTAAATGTGCAACTAAAAATATCTCTTGTTTGTAGTTTATTAAGTTTCAGTATCAGTGTTGTTTTTTCTGATTAATATTTCTGTGAAAACAGATTTTTTTCAGGATTTTTGGCTGAATAGAAAGCTCAAGATAAAAGCATCTATTTGAAATAGAAACCTTTTGTGACATTATAAATGTCTGTATTGTCACGTTTGATCAATTTAATGTGTTTTTGCTGAAGAAGCATTAATTTTTCTCCCCAAAATATTATTTTTCTTTCAAAACAAGTAGCCTTTTATTTTGGAAAATTAGTTTATTATGAATAGAAAGCTCAAGATAAAAGCATCTATTTGAAATAGAAACCTTTTGTGACATTATAAATGTCTGTATTGTCACGTTTGATCAATTTAATGTGTTTTTGCTGAAGAAGCATTAATTTTTCTCCCCCAAATATTATTTTTCTTTCAAAACAAGTAGCCTTTTACTTTGGAAAATTAGTTTATTATTGTAATAATAATAATAATAATAATAATAATAATAATAAGCCAATGTATCTCATAGACCAGGGTTCAGAAGTTACTTTACAATATTACAAATCTCTCTGTAATCCATTAACACACATGAATTTACTTCCACTAATGTCAAAGCATAATTGCACGGAATAATTTTTCCATATCATAAAAAACAGGACGACAAATGAACCGTTTAGAAAGCTGAATCCTTCATGATAATCCGCACATACAGTACGATAACACACACTTACACATACTCTCACACGTGTTGGGAGCCCCTCTAACAGACTCTGGCTCTCTGCCATGGTCCAGATGTTTCAGGGCCCCTGAGGGCCACTGCAGGTAAGCTAATTAACTCTTAGAGATGCACATAAACTATAAATATTCACCATTCATTTTGAATTGGACACCACCAAAAACTGACTCATTGTTCAATTGTGAACTCAGTAACGATTTGTTTAGGGAGTCTGATTCAAATTCTGATTCTAACTCTCTGCACTTAGTAGACGACTCGGAGGAAGGTTGTGAGGGTTTGGTGTTCCATTTGCGACAGACCCTTCGAGACCTTTTAGTGAATCTTTTTTTTTTAAAAGAACCTGTTCATAAGAGTCATTTGTTTACAAATTGAACACCATGGCAATTGAACACACTGTGTTTAGGGTGCATGCAAATCTAAATAACTAGCACTACCTCATAAGATGATTTCTGACAAAACTTGACAGAACTGGATTTGCCAACCCTGTGCCTGTAGTGACACTTATAGACTTTTCACAACACTTTCAAAGCGAAATGAGTCCAGTGGGTGGCGCTATAAGTGCGTTCAGTTTTATCTGAAACAGACGGTTGTGAATCTGGAAACGTTTTTCACGTTGGTTGTTGTATTTACAGTATGCTGGGAATTTGAAAGTGAAATGTCTGGTGAGTGTTTCACATCATAAGTGTAATGCTGTACTAGGTGCGCTAACGAGCAAGTTTACTTAATCAGAAAAGCCAAGCTTCTTATGTGATGCAAACACCACAGTGTAGTAGTTTACAAATCATTCACTATGTTAAAAGTGTTTTGAGCTCATGATATAGCATTGTGCAAGACACCTCTCAAACAATAAATCTTTATTAAGCGATAATCTGCCCCTATAATCATAATTTGTGTGAAAAGGAATAAGAGTTGTTGGTGTTTTACTGCTACTAGTGTTCACATCAGCTGGAAACTACATTCTAGGCCTAGGTTGGGATTTTCAGTTATTGTCACCTTTTTTTTCCACATTTGTGAGCATTTTGGTCACATTCTACAGCTCTGAAATTGGTACCATATGACATCAATTTGGCAAAGATGAAACGTTTCCAGGCCAAAGGAAGCACAATCCAGAAGAAACACGACTAACAATCCCACATGGATCCATTGAAAGTGACTAGCAACTACAGAATAGCGGAGACAAATGTGTCTAATCAGGATCTAACCCAGTGAGATGAATGCAGGGGGGACAGGAATATTATTTAAACAAATAGTGATATAAAGAGCTCTGGATTGCACTGGCAAGAAACATCTAGTGTTTTTCAGCAGTCAAACTTTCACTACATGTTTACAATCAAGATTTGAATCATTCTCGTCTTCATAATTCAGCTGTCAAGCGACTCCAACGAGCAAAATTACAACCAGCGCTTGGCCTCGTGCCTGGATGCCAGACTGACCGTGAAGTCACTGAAAAAGACGTAACCTCCAGGATCCATCCGCTCAAATAAAAAGACACTTTGACAGCATGGGCGGAGGTTTAGAAAACTGATAAATGAGACGAGCTGCATGTTTCTCAGAACTGGAAGCCAACACCATTTCTTTCGATGCCACAAACACGGCATGTGTGTTTATGCCCATTTATCTCCAAACAGCTTGAGCGGAGAACACATATAAATCACCTTGTGCTTTTATATACGACATGTTCACCAGACTAAAACACAAATGTATAAAATTTATCAGAGGAAACTTTGGTGTGTGATAAGTTCATAATGTGTTTCTCTTGATGGAGATTACAGGCAGCTCTTGTATAAATAGGTCACAATGTTACTGGACTGTTGGGGCTGATTTTCTCTTGGACAAGAGGCAAGAGCGGAATAGGAAAAAGGTCCCGAGTGGAAACTGAAGTCAGGAGGACTGTTCAAGCCTTACATAAGCGTACCGTGGTACGGTGACTAGGAATACAACTTGGGTTCATAAAATAAGCCTCTAGCTCAGAAATGGACTGAATATCCAAGGCTGGTTTGGAGCCGATCTCGCTAATGAACCAGCATAATACCATGGTTCTTTGATATTTATAACTTGATTAAAACCCCTTAACAGTCACCGTCCCACCTGTGGGACGCTTGGCGCTCTTTTTTGTTGTTGTCCTTTTTCTCTATCAAATCTTTTAGTAATCATCATAAATCATATATCATTTGAAAGCTTAGAGGCCATCCTGTGAAAAAGGCACCCAGTGGCTGTTTGTGGTATAACGCCTTAAATAAAATCTCACAGGAACCTCAATTTTTTTCATATCAACTTCAAATTTGGAACATAACTTCTTTAGACATAAGGCTTTCATTTTATACCAATTTTAGATTAAAACCTGTTATGTAAAATATGTATTATATATAAAATAAAATTATTATAGTGCATGTTCTTTACAGTAAATTTAAACTTCTATAACTTTTTGATACTTAAATTTTTTGAAAAAATTCCACTTTTGAAATAATCTGCTGATTTTCTTCTTGTTTGAAGTTTGTAACTCACAATTGAGAAATATAAACTCGTACTTCGGAGATGAAAAAGTAAAAAATGTGAGATAAAAGTCTGAATTTTAAAATTTTAATTTAAAAAATTTTAAAATGTAAAAATAAAAAGTCACAATTACCTTTTTTATTTATTTATTCCCTTGTGCTGAATAAACACATTTAAATATATATCAGAATTTGAGGTAAAACAAATAATAAAATCACAAATAATTTCTTATTATTTGGTGCAGAATAAAAAACTAAAAAATGAATCTCACAATTCTCACTTTTTTTTCTCTCATTAGCCAAAATTTCTTATTTAATAACCATTTTTTTTGGAATTAATGTAAATAACATATCATCAATTTTCTTATTTGATTAGTGACCTACAAATAGTGGAGGATCTTAAATAGTTTTGTTTAAATTAGATTTTGAATGCCAGACTTTCAGGGTGATCTCAAACTTTTGGAGCCCTACAGAGAGAACAATAAACAGTATACAGTAAACAATAAACAGTGACAGAAGGCACATTTGATAAGCATCTCAGAGCAAATGCTCAGGTCAAGCCCTCCATCTCTCATTACAGACTGTACTGCAATGTCCATGCAAATGTCCAGCGGGTCTGTGCATGTGCATAAGTGTGTGTGTTTGTCTGCAAAAGCTTCCATTCATCACTCATACTGGAGACACGTGCCTCCGCAGGGTTTTCAGTGACACTTCCATCATCTACCCACCCGCAAGTAAAAAAAAATAAATTCAAGTTAAATCTTTTTCAAATAAATAAATATTGTAAACTCTGTATAACATTATACATTTAAGAAGATCTTAAGATCTCTTTTTATAAAATTATATAGGTATTTATTTTTAAAAATCGATTTAAGGAAACTGTATACGAGATCAGAATTAGAAACCTTGCACACTAAATGCAAATCAGACCACAAGGCTAAACAATTTACAGTTGTTAAACAGTGCTATCTTGCAGGATTCTAGCAGTGCCCCTTCAATAAAGTGCATTTACTCACACACTCTGAAGCCGGATCCAGGTGGCGTCTGTCCTGCCTGCTCGCTGTTGTAGATAGTGGTGACATTTCCGCGCTCGCAGTAGTTGGTGCAGCGTCCCTGCGTGCAGCGCAGCCTGCAGATGGTGGGGGTGAAGAGCACTTTGATCCGCTCCGAACCCCTGCGGACGACGGCGGAGCGCTGCTGAGCCACGGCTAGACAGAGGCAGAGGGCAAAGCCAAAGCAGAGCAGCAGAGTCAGCCTGTGAGGACGCATGGCGAGCCCCATTCATACACACATAACACACTCTCTCACACACACACGCAAACCCAGGATGAAGACGGAAACGTCTCTTTCTTGGCACGTTCCTGCAATATCCCTGGAAAGGATCAACTAGTGCACAAATGAAGCCCAATTCCTGTTCTGGCACAGATATCAGGGAATGTGCGCTACACACACACCTGTGTGTGTGTGTGTGTGTGTGTGGCTGTGAATGTGTTCAGAAAGCTGTTTGTTGAGGAAACGAGAGCCGTCCCGGTGTTTGAAGGAGCTGTTGCAAGCAAAATCTGGCCGAGATTGGGATTGGATCTATCACCCGCTGATGCCCCTCTTGCTCTCCTTCAGCCCTGAACTTCTCTGTCATATGAGGAGGAGAGAGCAGAGTGGGCGGCGAAACCCAGAAAACTAGCAGGGGAAAGAGAGAGAGAATTTGCATCTCTGGCATTGCACACGGGGGTGAGGTCAGCGCCGTTTAACGTTTGTGTGTGTGTGTAGCGGGGGCTTGTAGATGAAGGGAGGGGTGTATTTTTCTTTCACTGCATTTTCAACGCTGTCATTTGGCAAGCTGTTGCTGTTCCCCTGCAGCGTGCGCTGGACGTTAAGGAATAGTTCAGCACGAATGAATCATTTAGTCACCTTTGTGACTTTCGTTCTGCTGTGGAACACAAAAGGAGATATTCGGAAGAATGTTCATGCTGCTCTTTTCCAGAAACTACTGTAAATGCAGACAAAATGACAATAAAGCATCATGAAATATCATAAATAACTTCTTCAAGACTACTGAAGTCATACGATAGCTATGCTCGGAGAACAGACCAACATTTTGCTCTCTACTGTAACTCTACACTCTTAAATAGGTTCTAAAAGGGTTTTTCTTTTTGTAGAGAAGAACCATTATGGGTTCTTCAAAGAACATTTCAGTGAACAGTTCTTAAAATAACCTTTTTTTTTTCTTAGTGTGAAAAACATTAACTTTTTCCACTATAAAGAACCTTTAGTGGAATGGAAAGGTTCCATGGATGTTAAAGATTCTTCAACACTCTTCAAAATTAAAGTTCTTTATTGGAATCAATGGTTCCATAAAGAACTTTTATCATCCGTGGAAACTTTCCCTTGGACAAAAGGTTCTTAATGGTGGAAAACGGTTCTTTAGGTGCATGACTAAAATAGTATTCACACTAAGAATGTTTCTTTTAAGAATTGTTCACTGAAAAGTTCTTTGGGGACCAAAATGTTTTTGCATCAGCTAATAAAAATACAATTGTTTGTTCATGTTAGTTCACAGTACACTAACTTTTGATTTTAATATTGTATTAGTAAATGTAGAAATTAACATTGCAATTAATAAATGCTGTTTTGTATTGTTTATCATTAGTTCATGTTAACTAATGTAATTAATGAATGAACCTTTACTGTAAAGTGCAACCCAAATATTTTTTAAATATTCCTCTCCTTAATTCTTATCCAGTAATTCACGGACAAATGGAGAAGTCATGGTGCCTTTGATTACTGTTGTGGGCAATCTTGGGGTCAAAAAGGTCAAAAAGAACCACTGCTTTAGATCAAACAGCAGACAACTTTATGTCAATTCTTCTGGCCAATCAAATATGGTTTCTGTAGACGTGTCCCGTCAGGTCATGGAATTCAAACCTGATGAAATAGGTCTAAAAGCACCATATTTGATTGGACAGAAGACTTGGAATATAGCACAAGTCATTCGGTGGTGCTTTGTTGTCATTTTGGAGCTTTATGGAAAAGAGCTGCCAGGATATTCCTGAAAAATTCCATGTATTTCGAAATTCTAAAAAATCCTTTTGTGTTCCATTGAAAAAAGCAGGTCATTCAGGTTTGGAGTGACATGAGGTTGAGCAAATGATGGTTATTTTCATTTTTTTGGGTGAGGATAAACCTAATCTAAAACAGGTTTTTGACTAAATAAGTATCTGGATCAAAGTCAACAACTCCACAAAGCAAAGACCAAACTGTTCAGAGCATTTAAAAGGATTAGTTCTTATAAAAGATTGTGCTACATTCTTCACAGATGAAATGGTTTACCCAAATTTAGTGTTTGAACATTACTTCTGTTGAATAAACCCGCAGGGAATAAAATCTAATATGTTTTTCCCAAGCAACAATGAGAGAGCTAAATGAATTTCGCTGAGATATTCTGCTTCTTAATTTGCTTTCTCCAGAGAAAAGCCTAAGTAATCTCTCAGACTTTGCTTAGATTTGCCAAAACTCCAATTCTGCAACAAAATGTCTCAGATCTCAATAAAAACTAAAAGATTTCTCATTATATTCTTCCAAGATGAAATAATCTGCAGTCCCAATTTATATCTTTATATTATACCGTATTCGCCCGAATATAAGACAACCCTGATTATAAGACCCCCCTTTAAAAAGGCTTTTTAAAAACCAAATCTTGGTATATATATATATATATATATATATATATATATATTTGTATAATATATTTTCAAAATGTCTAAAATATATTGTTATGTATATATTGATATATACAATATATTTTTGTGCCATATTGGTTACATGAAGCATCACAGAGCTATGAGAGAGCAACATCAGAGCAATGCGGTTTTTCCTCCAGGAAGAGCAAACAGTGGGTTAAATGTGCAGAAAGTAGGTGAAATTGATTGTAACTCAGACTGACTTGACACACTTTCAGAATGTGGAAGAAATGGGCCTGTTTTGAGAGCAGGAGCCTCAAGCGCAGACGCTGTTTGCCGGAGGAACAGATTCCCCAACATGTTTCTCATGTTGTTTGGGAATGAAGCTGAATTTGTAAGCTTATTGTTGTAAATGATGTCATCCGGTGGCACTGGATCAGGCACTCTCAGAAGCAAACATGCACAATATCATAAATCTTCATATATTATTTATTTTTTTCATGCAAGTTTGACTCTGGAATCTGCTTTTCACTTTATACTCATAATGAAACTCATAGTTATTCATCTGACAGATGCTTTTATATTTATTGCAACTTAAAACATTAATCAATATGTGCTGAATGCAACCAATGACTATCAGTCAAGCTTCAGAAACATGTACTGCCGCTTTCCATGAATTAGGAACAAAGCAGGCCTCAAGATGTATTTATTTATTTGTTTGTTTGTGAAAGAAGGTGCTAAACCTTCATAAAGTATTAAACATCAACTTCAGGATGCCAAACTAAATGTTATGAGCTTTTTTTTTTATTTTCTGTTCATTTGCATTTCAATATTTGCAACCCTGTTACCAAATTCTATTTTATTGTGATTTAGCTTTTCTAGAGCTAAATATTAAATAAATACATAAACGTAATCCATGAATACATTGATTTATTTAATAAATTAAGTATATGTATTTGTATAATCCCTATCCATATGTATTCATATTTGCAACCATGGTACCAAAATTGAAGACATAAAACAGAGTTTAAAACTCTTTGTTGAACTAAAAAAACAACAACAGCAACAACAAAAAACAAAAACAAACATACAAAATATAAAGACATCGTCTTTAAAAAAAAACATAAAACAAAACAAACAAACAAACAAACAAACACATTTCTTTAATCATTTAAACAATAAATACAAAATTAAATATCAATAAAATGTATTTTTGTTTACATTTCAATAATCGCAATCATGTTACAAAAATCAAAGACAACTAAAAACAAATTTTTGTAGAAGGCCTTTTGTAAGTGTTAGTTTTTAGTCTTTCATTTTTAGATAGGCAGGTCATTTTCTGGTCATTTTAATATCAGTAAATTTCTATCTTTAAGAAGGGGATACTATACAAATGAACAAAAACATGGGCTGTGTGCCTGTAATGCTTATTTAAAATAGCAATGGGACACTGAAATGCCATATTCACGTAATCCAGCTCTGGATTTAAAGGCCATTGACTGGTTTTAAGAGGGACTTTCTGGATTTCTGTGCTTCATCAGTACATCATGAGCAATATCGGCTGAGACTGTCACTTGGTCAGTGCCAAATTACAGCCTCTTTGAATCTAAAATCGAATCTAAAATCTCTCTTGACTCTAAAACTCCAGAAGAACAGGTCACATCAGTGCACAGACACTGGGGAAAAACAGCATTAATCATAAGCTTACAAAAAATCCACTAGCAACAATATCTCACACAAGCATTCATATTTGGCAACACAAACTGGACAATAAAATCCTGACAAAGAGCTTAAGGGTCAAGCTATTAGATCTGACGCCCTCAACTTCAGCTATGCGTTCTGCGCTCATCTTATTGACTCGTGACACCAGGGGAATTCAGCTCTCGTTGTACGAGTGTAAATATTTATAAAGTGTGCCATTTCAGTCATCATTGCAAAAATAGGTCATTAATGAAGAAGTGGTTTCCTCATGAGCTGGAATGCTGAGCTTCTGTCAGTCCCTCTCGACATTACAAACTCTCTCAGCATGGAAACTTGAATTCAGCCGGCATTAAGTGTTGGATTTCCAGAGACCTGGCGTTTGGCAGCAGCTCTTCTCTTTTCCACGCGAGACGACATCCTTCATTCGAGCACTTTCCACTTCGCCGGGCAATAAGCGTTGAGGTTATGCGGCTGGAGAAGGTGTATAATAGCGTTTGAAGTTAAAGGAGAGAGGAGAGGGAAGCCCTGAGGTTATGTGGACAGTCCGGGGTTGTTTATATGCTGGCTCTGGATTTAAAGGATGGACTGGTGTTAGGAAAGGACTTTTGGGAATGTTTGTGAGCTGCAGAGCACACTTCATTACATAAAACCACACTCAGCTAGGGAAAAACTGTATAGACTGGCTCAGAAAACCCAAAATAACCTCAGCTCAGATATCCTTCAGCCGAAACCTTTTCACAACAGTGTTATTTTAGTATTCTATTATAGTTTTTGAGAATATTTTTGATTTTATTTGTATATTTTCTCTTTTCATTTTAATTTTAGTTAAGCCTTTGGTCTTTTTAAATTATTACTGTTTAAATATAAATAGGTTTTAGTATTATAAAACTAAAAACTTAATAAAGACATTTAAAATAATTTGAGCTATCTTTAGTACTTTAATTTAGTACTTTACTTGTCTTGGCAGTAGCTTATTATTTATATTGTATCTTATTCCAGTTAATGTTCATTTTATTTTAAGTAATTGATATGTTTTATTGGTTTAGTTTTATGGTTTTAGTTTTTATGTTTTCCTTTTAATTTGAAATTTTTAGTAATTTTGCTGTGTTTTTGTCATTTTTATTCTATTTTATATAAACAGGTCTAGTTTCTATTGTTTTAATACTATAAAGATAACATCTAAAACTTAATAAAAAACTATACAGACATTTAAAAATATATATTTTGTTACTTCAACTTTA